TTATAAAAGACTTTTTTTTTCTTTTTTTTTTTAAAAATTTAAGAATTGAGGTAGGCACGGTGCACGGATCATTATTGAAATAATTAGTCAATCAGTTATAATGTTAAATAATTATAATTTAAATAGAAGTAGCTGTACGTACAGCAGTAGCGTAGCGAGGGGGGGGGGACATATGTCCCCGGGCGCCGACATTAGGGGGCGCCAAAATGGGTTGGAAAAATAAATTGAAAGGTTGAGGGGTGCAAAATCGAAAGTTTGAGGGGGGGGGGGGGGGTGCAAATGGAAATCTCGAGGGGGGGGGGGTGCAAATCGAAAAGTGAAGGGTCGCTACGCCTCTGACGTACAGTTGCAATTTTGACGGAGTTAGAGCTGGGTGCACAGTAGCTTCGGTGCTGCCCTTGTGTCGACGTGTGACGATAGGGGATAGTAAAAGTTAAAATTTATATTTATAATATAGGCCTATATATATATATATATATATATATATATATTTATATATATATATATATATATATATATATATATATATATATATATATATATATATATATATATATATAAGAGAGACGCTGTTATAGTTAATGATTTATTATTTTCGGGCTTGTCTCTTATTAATACTCCCTGCGAGAGTCCTATAGGTCGAATTTACATTTGAATGTTTTTCTAAATTATGACGAAAAAAAAAAGTTGTGTAGGAAAATAAAGCCTACATATTCACGAGGATCAAATGATCGCTTATATATTAGTATTTTTTGTTTCATTAAAAGATTTTTACATTTCCGAATAATTTAAATGCATTTTAATTTAACCTTATGTTTGTTAAAGTATTTTCCTTTATAAGTATAAAATTATGTTAAATTTCGCGTATGGGCGGACCCGAATACCCTCTCCCATTCAACTTGCGTCGACCAGTGTTACTTTCTTCATCTCTCCCAACCCCACAATATTCATCATTCCCTCCCCTTTATTTCTGTCCGTATAGGAGTTTGTTCTATGTAACGGATTTTTTCTACAGTTTATGATATCGGGTGTTATGTGGAACTTTTGTTTTACGAGGCATTCGTTCTACGGTGTACTTTATATTAAAGCATAGGAATATCTACATAACATAGTAGGATATATATATATATATATATTATATTATATATATATATATATATATATATATATATATATATATATATATCATCGTTCCCAGCTATTTGTTTTCCCATTAGTTTATGCATTTAACAATAAAGCCTTAATTATGAATGATGACTAATTTTCGATCTTATTACTTTATTAGGCTTATATTTTGATGTTCTTGTGTTATAATTAATTATACACCTCTACATGCAGATGCAAAGTTCGAAAGATATTGCTCTATTAGAAATGTGACTTTTCAGTTACAAATTTTATTACAAGTAACCACATTCTGTTATGAACGAACGGACAGAATGACATGTAAAACATGAATTGTTCCGTTGTAACGTTTCATTCTCTATTTCAATTCTTTCGACATTCACTCGATATCTAACTTTGGTCTGCCTATACTCCTACTACTACTACTAGGCCCTAAGGCCCTACACCTAAAAATATTGCTAAAACTCACTACTAGGCTTATAGTCTACTCTTGTCCTTCAAACATGGGATCTACACAGAGTAACAGACGGAACAGAGAACTAAATCTAGATGTAGGTCATGAAGTAGTCGATATCAAATATCATCCACTCTCCCGTTCTCACGCAACACAGCACAAGTAGGTGTCGTTCTATACAATGAGCTGTAGTTGGCCCCATCCATTCAGATAGACAAATTAAAAAAATGTAACATACTGACTATTACTGACGAAACAAGACATGATAAGCGTAGGAGTTTATGTAGTAAGATCTACATGCTTTACGATAACCGATACTAATTAGTACGGTATGTCGGCAGTGTAAGTTAGATTTATGCATTAATATGATTAATATGTTTACGTTTTCCCACTTTAAAATATTTTTCATTGTTACTGGTTCAGTGTGAGTGGTTGGCCTACCATATTTGATCAATATTTTAAAAAGCATTCGGTGCATTGCTTCCCTTTCTTATCACTAGATTTACTTAAAGTTTAAAGTACTTATTATTATAATATTATTGCTATTGACTTATTCGACCTACTAGATCTAGATTTAACTTAATAACCAGAGTTTCTTCCAGACATCTCTTCGAGGCTGTCCGCCTGAAGAAGATCTACAGCTCCCCCCCCCCACCGACCGAAAGCAATAGGATTTAGAATCTATTTAGAAAACATACCACCTCTGGAAAATGTTGACCGCCCCCCCCCCCCCCCCAAAAAAAATAAATATCAAGTGCCTCCCCCATCCCCCCCCCCCCAGAGAAAAAAATCTGGAAGAAACACTGTTAATAACCTACCCCATATGACATCCCCCCCCCCCTCTCCCCACCTCGACATCTCATCCAGTAGTAGATCTAGATCTAGTAATCAATAATCAATAGATAGTTGTTAGTTAACAATAGGCCTACTAAAAATTGTGACATCAGTACATAAGGAGCATGCATCCCGCCTCTCCCTGACATTAAAAGCCAGGCTAATACAAAATGTATTCAATAAGACAATTGTAGCACTGTTGATAGTTCTTTAAAGTAGGCCTATCTTAAATTCTTCTGTGGCTGACATTATTGACTTAGTAGACTGTGGACTACCTAGATCTATACTGTGCTTTGTTTTCATCCACTGCATGAATAGTAGTACAATCACTACTACTACTACTTTTAAATTTATGAAGCTACCCAGAGTTTAAGGCACCTCCTGAAGCTCGTCCACATCCCCTCCGAAATGAATTTAAAAAATTAAGAAAAATAATCCGATAGACCTTATAGAAAATATATGGGGGGAGGGGGGGGGGGGCTACTTTAAACAGAGTTGTCCCCACCCCCTGGAATTAATTCAAATCCTCCCACAATCAGTTTCTTTCAGACATTTCTCCAGGATGGGGGGGGGGAAATTGAGTAACAGTGTTTCTTAAAGACTTTTTTCTGTATTTTTTCTATATAAATTCTATTTAGTTTGGGGAGGGGGGCGGGAGACGTGTTAGGGGGGGACCAGATAACACATGTCACCTGTAAACCATTGTCATCTCTCCCACTATATGGGCGTAATTAATTTAATTAGCTTATAAATTGGCACTTTAAAATTTTTCTAACTCTTCCTGATCCTGTTTTGAAAATTTGGCTAAGTTAAGTATCATTTAGGTCTATCCATTATGTAAATAACATTTTTTTTACAGTACAATAGACCTATACCATTACTAATATCCCCCTTTTTTTAAATACACTTTTCAGCTTGTTCATGGTAGGCCATACATGGCTTTCAATCAAATTGAAAAATCACACATGTAAATGTGAGACCTAACCACCACTTACTATGTGTAAATAACACTAGCAGGAAATGGAATTTCATCTTGCACCACCAACAAAGACTCAACTAAAACTGGTTTTCCTTCTTTTACTCCAGTATAGTTGGGTTACCACATTGGAGATCAGTTTGAAGGGTAAGTGGACTTTTAACTTTTTATTACAAGTGTTGGTTACCAGGATGCTGTGGTCAGTTTTTGTAGTTAGGTCAACAGGATGCTCTGGTCAGTTTTTGTAGTTAGGTCACCAGGATGCTCTGGTCAGTTTTTGTAGTTAGGTCACCAGGATGCTCTGGTCAGTTTTTGTAGTTAGGTCACCAGGATGCTGTGGTCAGTTTTTGTAGTTAGGTCAACAGGATGCTGTGGTCAGTTTTTGTAGTTAGGTCACCAGGATGCTGTGGTCAGTTTTTGTAGTTAGGTCAACAGGATGCTCTGGTCAGTTTTTGTAGTTAGGTCACCAGGATGCTCTGGTCAGTTTTTGTAGTTAGGTCACCAGGATGCTGTGGTCAGTTTTTGTAGTTAGGTCAACAGGATGCTGTGGTCAGTTTTTGTAGTTAGGTCACCAGGATGCTGTGGTCAGTTTTTGTAGTTAGGTCACCAGGATGCTGTGGTCAGTTTTTGTAGTTAGGTCACCAGGATGCTCTGGTCAGTTTTTGTAGTTAGGTCACCAGGTTTCTCTGGTCAGTTTTTGTAGTTAGGTCACCAGGATGCTGTGGTCAGTTTTTGTAGTTAGGTCACCAGGTTTCTCTGGTCAGTTTTTGTAGTTAGGTCACCAGGATGCTGTGGTCAGTTTTTGTAGTTAGGTCACCAGGATGCTCTGGTCAGTTTTTGTAGTTAGGTCACCAGGATGCTGTGGTCAGTTTTTGTAGTTAGGTCACCAGGTTTCTCTGGTCAGTTTTTGTAGTTAGGTCACCAGGATGCTGTGGTCAGTTTTTGTAGTTAGGTCACCAGGATGCTCTGGTCAGTTTTTGTAGTTAGGTCACCAGGTTTCTCTGGTCAGTTTTTGTAGTTAGGTCACCAGGATGCTGTGGTCAGTTTTTGTAGTTAGGTCACCAGGATTCTCTGGTCAGTTTTTGTATTTAGGTCACCAGGATTCTCTGGTCAGTTTTTGTAGTTAATTGGTGGTTAAACTGTTAACATCTATAGCAAGACCTACCTTGCAGAAGCCTTTAGGCCTGCTTGGTCTATCTAAAAAATATAAGTTGCGCCTATTATACCTATTTTGGGTCGTTGTATTGCTGCCTTAGTCAGGGGTAGAGTTAGAAATATGATCAAGGTTGTGGTTATAGTCAGGGCTAGGGTAACAAAAAATATGTCTCTAGCCTATGCCTTGCTTGTGATTTTAGAGAAATATTAAAATAATTAATAACACAAGATTCAGTGGAGTGGGTTCAAATAAAAAGCACCAAATTTAAAGTAAAAAATGAAAAAATTCTCCACAGAGAAAAAAAAATGTAGACATAGGTAGTATTTTTTATTTTAATTTTCATTTTAGTTATTCAATTATTTTTATTTAGTGATATTTTTTATTTTATCCCAAACAGAACAATGTGATCAGAGCCGTGCTAAACATGTTCAAATGTTCGCATTAGGGAAACCATTCCAGCTTTGCTGCCTGATGGACCAGGTCAAATGCCAGAAGCTGCCGTCTGGTAGTCAGCTGGAACTAGTTAAAGATGGGGGACACACGGATGACCTCTTGTGGAACATCACAAACCTCGATGAGTGCACGCTTGTATATTCCAACCACAACGCAACAGCTTTGTACTCGGGCCGCTACAAATGCATACAGCGTGGCCAGAAATATCCATTCCAGAGGTTACAGGTCAAAATTTTAGGTATTTTTTTTTTAAACTATCAAACCATTACACATTGTCTCTATAGCTAATGAAATCCTCCATCCAGTTAGTTGTTCAGTGTAATTTATTGATGATAAATCATAGCAGGCCTGTATAAATACTTTAGCAATATTAATTTGGAGATATTTTATCACTTGAATTGCAGATAAGCCAGTCCTGCCTACAAAAGTAATCTTCAAAGCTTCAGAGTTCAATGAAATAAACATTGTTATGCTCAGGGGGTCTCCTGATGAGTTGGATGAATACCAAATTAGTCTTTCACAAGGGTAAGACATTTTATGGACTGCAAATCATTTTTTTTATAACCAGGGTTGTCTACCTCCAAAAATAAGTTATTAGAAACATAACCATATTTTTTCTGTAAAAATATTCTTCTGTCATAACAGTCAAAAGAATAATATTTTCACTTTTTTTTGCACTAATTATCCCAAAGTTTATTAATTAGCCTGATAATTTTAATATGCTATGTTATGCATGGAAGTTTTTTTTTAAAGAATGGTAAAATTTCAATTGGAACCTTTATTCTAGTATGCTACTTCAGTAGCAAAATTGTTTGCTAGAATTTTTATTTTTATACACTACATTAACAGGAAAAAGATAAAGCAACACAATCAAATTAATGGAATGTGATAGCTTTTTTAAACTTAATGATACTTATATAAATAATACTCTCACATAATTTATTATTTCATGACTGCGATCTCCTACTAATTTTTTAATAAAATAAAAAAGATATATAATAATACTTATCCTTGATCAACTTTTAATATAAAAAAAAATGTAATAATAATAAAATTTGATTAACTTGTAATAAAAAAATATATAAAACAATACTAAAACTTGATTGCCACAATACACTTCCACCGTAGCCTTAAACCGGGAATGGGGACGGTGGAGGTCAGGGGTTGTATTACTGAAGACACATTTAAAAGTAAATTTATGTGACATTTGAACTAGTTGATAGCTATACCAGGAAATGAAAGCAGTTACTGATTTATATAATACTATGATAATTTGTGTTACAAAGTTGTAAATGTAAAACCTCATAGGTTGCTGCTTTTAGTATAAACATTAAGTTTAGGCCTTTAAATCCAGTTTTGCTGATTTATGACTTAAGGTTTTGGAGTCAAATTACTGACTTTTTTCCCTATTTCCAACGTAAAATTTAGAATTGAGTTAAATTACTTATAATTTTGCTGTATTCTCACCTGTGCATTATTTTAAGCTTGGCTCCTGTGTATACCAGCAAGATGGACTGCTTGAATGAAAGCATCTGTCAGTGGAACAACAGCGCTCACGCTAACAGAAACAGGAATGTGGCTCACAAAAATTACTCAGTAGCTTTAACTGTTTCTAGACCCTCCATAGAAAACCCCATTCAAACAGTCAAACATGTTTACTCATTCAATCCTATTCAGTTCAGTAAGTACTGATTTTATAATTCTGTTTTGTGATTTTATTTTTTTGTTTCTCCATTACAAGAATTTCAGATGGCTACTGTTTTTATTTTATTTTTTGTTAAACCTTAAATTCTTTTACACATTGACTAATAATTATTCAATAATGATCTGTCTCTTATTTCTGTCATTAGTTGTACCAGAACCTGTCCAAAATGTCCAGCCAGTCAGCATTTCATCAGAGGAAGCCTTTGTTATGTTTGAAGTTCCTGAAACTACTCGCCGCTACATTAACTGGATGAATTTTGACAAACACCCACTGACTTATAAAGTTGTACTCAACAAAACACAAGGCTACCCCCAGTTAGTGGTGGTAAGTTGAGAAAATACTTTGTTCATATTGAATCAATTAGCATACAAATATGTTCAAAATTTCAAAATTGCTTCAAGATACTTATAGATGCTTCCAGGGCCAGATAAATGGTAATATCTTTTCTGTCTTGTACCTCTGAGTATTAAGGGCCCAAAATTCTGACTGGGCTGCAACCAGAGACCCTTTAAATATATTAAATATTTTTGTTGATCACATCTAGTTGAAACAAATCTGAACTAGAATCTTTAGGATATCAAGTGTATAATTTACCTTGCTGTACTTTCACAGTAGACAGTTTGTTTAGTGTTTCTCTTGTAGAAAACTTTGTTTTTTTTTCATTTGATCTACAGACAAAAGTAAAGAAAACAACACAAAGTTTTCGATCACAATCATCACATGACTTTCTTGCAGTGAAGTTTACCAACTTAACAGCATTCACTGAATATACAGTGAGTGTATCTGGATTCAGTGATGGGGGGGAAAGTCCAACTGAAATGATCACATTCACTACAAATAAAACTGGTAGGTTTTTTCAATTAAGTAGACGGCTTCTATTTTATTTTTACATGACAATGCTGATATCATGATCTATTTTTACCATTCATATGTTGGTCTATACTTCTGTCTTCAGCTCCAGCACTGCCGCCTCGTGTCGATGATTTTGGTTTTTCTCGAGTTGATGATGTAAAGAAGAATGCAACAATTCTTGTCCTTATGTGGAAGGTATAACATTTTAAGCAACAAGCACTAAACTTCTTTTTAAAAAAAATGTTTTCAATTCTTAAAATTTGAAAATATAATGAAAACATTTTCTCAACTTTTAATACCAGCCCCTGCCTACAGATTCAAGAGGGGGCAGTAATTTAACATACGATGTCGTGGTCACCTCAGACAGGAACAATATTCCACTGCAAGAGCTGAACTCTGACGGCATGAATGCTGTTGTCCACCTGCCACTCAACCCTCAAGCAATGGTGGTGAGGATTTGGTCGAGGAATGAGGTGGGGAGGTCAGCAAACTACTCCCACATCTGGATACCATCAAACAAAGGTTGTTTTTTTCTTTCATTTTCTTTCCCCCTTGAAAATTGTGTACACATAACCCTCAAATCATGACTATTTTAGGATTATATAATTTTTTTCTCCCTAAATTTATTTACTACCCCCATATGTCCAAGACATCCTACACATGTAGAAACAACCCTTTTAAAAAATAAGATCCAACCTTCATAACTTTCTCCAGCTTTGATGACAAAGTACTTCACAATCTGCACAACTTAAGCAAGATAAACCTCTGTTCAAAAGCTGACACAATATTTGTTACTTAACTGTAGAAATATAGTTAATGTTTTCAACAACTACAAAACTTCCTTCAACAGATTTTACCCAACCCAGAATGGTTGTTACATACAGGTTGGATAAAAAAGTCAATGTACACATCAAAACAGATGGTCAAACAAAGTATGACAAGTTTGCTGTTCTTCATTGCAAAGGCAAGAGGGATAAAATCTACAATGATGTGGATGTTTGCGAGGTCAGAACTGGTTTATTGTCTTCTCACATATCCTTTTAAAAGCTAAAATACAGTTGGCTGTTCTTCTTGAACTATCCTTGTGAAAGTTATACATGGTTGATTATTCTATTCTGAACTATTGGTGTAAAAAAAATTATACATATTTTTAGCGCAATTTCCATACTGGAATTGCGATTATTAATTCGTCATTTCTGGATGTGTGTCCGCAGTTTTACCGCAGCTTTAAGTCGTACCTCCTCCTCAACGAAGCAATATCGAGGACTAGTTCCAAAGCAAATATGTTAAGCAAGTTCCGAGGATGATTGTGGGCCAAAAAAATTCCCAGAATTCCTTCCAGGATTTACTGGAAAAGCCAAAAAACCTCGAAAAAATGCAGTTTTTGGTCCAAATCTCAGCAACCAGACCACTTAGCGACTTGAAACATTTACCAATCGATTCGTTCCATAATTTAGAACAATATTGCCGAAGAAAGTTTTCAAAAATATCCTTTCGTTTGGTCACAAAATTTTTTTAAAAATTACATTATACATAATACATACATACAACTAAATACCCCCTACATGTCCGCAAATTTTTTAAAATCTCGTTAATAAATATTTTTTCTATTTTGTTTTGAATTATTAAAACTACTTGTGTTGCATTATTTATTTGCTGAATATATGATTTATCTCGATTTAAAATTGTTATGGATAACATAAGGAAATTGCGCTTAAATTGTCACTAGACTTTTTATTAACTTGTTTTTCTTTAGAAATATCCTTTTTAAAACATGGTTGTTTTTTTTAACTATCTTTGTGAAAGTTCATACATAGTTTGTTAACAAGTGTATTCTACATAAGTTTTCTCTCGTTTTTATGAACATCTTAAGACTCATTTATTACTGTAATGATCCCCCCTCCCCACTTGGTATAAACGGTACTTCACTAGAGGTTTTTTATTTACTGTTACACTTTATCTATACTTTGTTTATATGTAGTCTGTTTACATTATTTACTCCAATGCTTTACAATCACTGTGTAACATTTTTTGACCTTTTTTCTGCCTAAAAATACATGTAATAAAATTTTTTGATCCAAGGATTATCCTCGGCTAGTCATGTTAGAGCCTGATGCTGCTGATGCTGCTGATGCTGCTGATGCTGCTGGTGTGGTGGGGGTGGAGATCCCCCTGGGTCTACCCCTAAGTGCTGCTACAGAACAAAGCGAGATGACCTGTGGCTACACCACTCAGGTGAAATACTTTGAATTTGGGAACATGAGCCAGACCCTAACTGACCACAAAGATGCTACTGCTTACGTCAGCCTCACTGGTCAGTGGACTGACCAAGGCTCATGCAGTGGTCACTCTGTGGATGCAATTTCCAGTTTGACGAAGCCGCTGCCAGATTCTTCCTCTCTTCCTGAGGTACCAGTCTATGAGAAGTTTTTCATCGCTGTTCAAGAAAATGGAAAATGGATGGGGTTTCATTCTGCTGAATGTTATTACGATAGTTCAATAAGTAAGTTAAACACTGATTTCCATTGTTAATACAATAGTCCAAAACCAGTAATTTTAATTCAAGTCTAGTGAAAAAATAAGTATAGTTCCCTTTTCAAACCAGACAGTCTATGGGGTAAGGGAAGTAGACCTCTGTATATGAAGGGATAGTTTGGTCAACACTATGCCCAGCCGTCTTTACTTTCCCTAATGTGAGTTAGGTACCCATCAGAGCTGGGTAGACTCTGGGACATTCTATTGACTTGAAGCCAGATTCAAATTCAAGACTTTTGGGTTAGCTGTCTAGCGCTCTACCTTTAGCAAACAACACCAATGTTTAACTTTTTCTCTCTTAAAACTATTTACTGACTGCTTAAACTTTTCAACTTTGTATTTAGTTCTTTAATCTAAACTTTTCAACTTTGTATTTAGTCCTTTAATTTAACTTCACCATGATTGGTCCTAGTCCAGAGCTGAAGATCAATGTTATTTATCACATACATCGTCTGCTTTGTCATTAACAAAACCCAGTGGAAAAAAGGTCATTTACTTATCAAATCATGCATTTTTGTCCTTTCTATTTTTTCCATTTTTTGTCAATCTGTAATTTTCATGTCTTTTTATAAAATTTACCATGCTAGGTGTCTTTGTCTCCCTCTTTTTCTTGAACCTTGTGGACACCATGTTATGCCTTGTGGGCACCATGTTATACCTTGTGGGCACCATGTTATACCTTGTGGGCACCATGTTACACCTTGTGGGCACCATGTTATACCTTATGGGCACCATGTTATACCTTATGGGCACCATGTTATACCTTATGGGCACCATGTTATACCTTGTGGGCACCATGTTATGCCTTGTGGACACCATGTTATACCTTGTGGGCACCATGTTATATCTTGTGGGCACCATGTTATACCTTGTGGGCACCATGTTATACCTTGTGGGCACCATGTTATACCTTGTGGGCACCATGTTATACCTTGTGGGCACCATGTTATACCTTGTGGGCACCATGTTATGCCTTGTCTAAATAATTCATGTAACTGATTTCCTCAACATGTCCTCTATCTTCACCTTTGTTACCTACACACGTAGCTTACATTATTTTTAAATCCATTACACCAGCGGAGTCCGCAGTGATCACAAGCCAACCTGACAACATCCTGGTGAGGTTCAAGCAGGAATGTGACCAGGAGACTCCCAAACAATTCCTGGTCAGTTATTTTGAACTGTACTCATGCGCTGATGAAGATTGCAAAAATAACAGTAAGTCTCATTGAAAATTTTAGTTCACATCTAAATAGAAAGTCTAGAGTGATGTCTAGGCTCATTATGTATAGTTGTAACAGGAATTCTTATTACAAAGCAGAGTTTATATTATAAGGGAAGGTCTTGTTACTCATGTAAAAGCATTCTATATTTGAATTCATAGGTCTTTAAATAATATTTTGTGCAAGTTTATAAAGTATTTTATTCGTGGATGTTTATAAAGTCTGTCAAATGCCTATCACAGAACCCTGTGATGGAGGGACAGGAGGTCTTTTGTGCACAACAGCTGATTGTTTCATTTTTTTCATTTTATCCCAGTTTTCAGCTGCTTTAAATAATTCTGCACTGGACATTCCAGTCCATTCTCTGATGTTCATGCCTTCTTTGCCATCTTCATCCACCCCCCCCCCCCCCCCCCCCCCCCCCCCCGGCTAGGCTTATCCAAGGTCATATAATCGCTTCATGTATTGTCCAGAGAAGCAGCTAAACTCTACTTCTTCTACCATCTTAAAGGGCATATTGGTTTACTGATTGTAGTATTGGTAGCAGCCATATGTCTCATTTTAGCTACTTTTCTATGTCTGTAAATACCTTGATGTAACTTTGACTAGAGTTGTGATGAGTGTTTGATTTAAAAAAGTACAATTTGATGAAATTAAGCAAAACAAATAATGTTATTTGTAGCTTTAGCAAAAATCTGATAACTATAAATATATTATTGCTATATACGTATCTCTTTATTATAATTATAGAAGTATCTGATACATGTATAACTTTGTAAACTTCAGTGGTGATGGTCAGCAGAGTGAAAAACAACATTTTTAACGCCAATGAACTGAGGTTGCCTCCTGACGCCAAATTTGTTTCTGTGAAATCCTACAGATCTGATGGTTATTTCATCTCCGACCCATCGGTTTTTGCAGGTACATTATCTCTGGCAACTTTACTGAAAAATTGCTTTTCTTTTGTTGATTTAGTTTTGGAATATTGAAAAGCGTTTTTTTATAAAAGTGATAAAACTAGAATATTGAAAGGCGTTATTTATAAAAGTGATAAAACTATTTAAAGCTTTTCCATAATTCTTGTTTTATGTTTACAAAAAAGTCTGATCATAGCTTGATGTTGATTGTGATGTTTTTCAGTTGCACCAAGATTTGGGTCAGACAGTACCTCAGAGCATTTCTTGCCCATTTTGCTGTCAATTGGTCTAGTTGCAATATTTCTGGGACTATTCATGTAAGTCAATAAAATGTTTAAAAAACTATAGTTTTAAAACTGACATGGTCGATTCCAGGTAAGTAATAACAGTAATACATAATTTATGTGTCATAATATTTGTGCTCTGAGAGTCCAACAGCAGCCACAGTAGGGCATTTGAAAGGCAAGCAACCACAGGTATTGAAATTTTTAAAAGGCCATTTATCACCAGGCTGTTAACTATCAATAACTTTAGTGTATGAAGGTTGTATGTTCATATCCAATGACCACAGGGTATGAAGATAATAAAGATAAGTGACCACAGGACATGAAGATAATAAAGATAAGTGACCACAGGACATGAAGATAAATAGGCTCTATGTCCACAGAATAAATGCCAATGATAGTGTATGTACTGTGGGTCTAAAAACTGTCTAGTGTGTGTAGGTCAAGGGTCACATTGTTCTTTCCATCTGGTGATCTGTAGTGTAGAAAGTAGGCCTACTAATTAACTTACTGTAGAAAGGACTAATTAAACTAGCAAGGACTAATTAAACCACATTAAACATGAAACAGGAGCACTAGTAAATAAATATGACTCGAGACAATATAGTAGTAACATTAACAAATGTTACAATTATTTTAATTCTCTAAAGATTCTTGAACAGAAACCTTAGGATATTTAACATTTTCTGAATTTCACTATTGGATACTTAGATACAGTTTCTATTTTTTTTATTTCAGCTTCGTTTTCTACAAATGCAAGAAACGAAAACAGCATTTCCAGAGTATACACGACTCATCTATACCAATACTGGGCGATTCACATATGGTAAATCATTACTTACAACAATGATGCTGTTCAATCACATACACTCATTATAATGTGGTTCATACAGATATGGTGCTGAAATATTTCATTAAATTCAGCCATATTAACCCTTGAGTGTACGTGTGGTTAAATGGTAGAGCGTATGGCTGCTAGATAAAGGTCGTGAGTTTGGATCACAGTTCAGAGACATGATTATATTATGTCCCTGTGTCCATTCAGCTTTGACTGGTACCAGACTTACATTGGGGAAAGTAAAAGTGGCTGGGCAGAGTGCCTTCATCCCTTTATGTTGAGGTCAAGAAACATGAACTCTACTTCATCTGCACGATGGATCACTCGTTCTTAAGAGAAATCTTTTACTAACCCTCACTGTACTTACAAGCCTTGGTGTGTGTCAAGGGTAGAATCCACTAATAAATATTTTTGTTGAGGAAAAATGGAAACAGTATACACTAAGCTACAGCTGAATATAGACAAGCATTGCAAAATGTGTCTGTTATGGTAGTTTTAGAACACTTCCACAAATACATCATAATCACTGGTATGCTTAAGGGTAGTCCATTAATGACTTCCCTTATCTAGTGGAGGGGCTTTTATTCACTTTAGTTAGGGTGAGTTATGTGAGGGATGGGGAGGATGGAAACACAGAGCCTTTTTTGCGGAACTGGCTTTATGTGGATGAGGGCATACATCTGTTCTGTTTTTTCAAATTGTTTGTATGTGGTGTTCAATGTTCTACAGTTACGCATGTTTTTACTGGAAATAACTTGCATTTGAAAGCTTTGACCTCTTCTTTTTCTTTGCTGTGATAATCTGCCATGTAATCCTTATCTTTGCTGTGATAATATGCCATGTATTCTGCCAGCTCTCTCATCTGTTTGTACTTTAACCACAAAAATCTTTAAAGATGGCAGAAGCATCCAAATAGCTCTGTCATTGTTCAGCATATTGTTTTGAAAGGCCAATGTCAGATGTTTCTTCATCTTGATACCATACCTGTCTGGTTTGGTATTGTACAAAAAAGCACCTAACACAGAATGTGGCATGTCGTTCACCAATGGTGATGGTAATCCTGGTAGCAAAGTGTCAATATTGTGATATTATGACCACCGTCCTTCAATGGCCTAAATGTTTCTGACAGTTCAGATGGTAGAAGTCCAAAACAACTAGAATAGCATTCCTTTCCTTAATAGATCTTTTATCAGTGCCATGCTGAAGGTGAAATGTGTCTAAGTTTAATTTATTGTTGTTTTTGTCACTTGGTGTTTTCCATCTTTGATGTAGGTACTAGGGGTACTAATTTTAACTGCCCCACGATATATGTCCTATGTCATTGTGTTCTTTTTGTGCCCATACAGTTCTGGGTAGATGAGGCATATACCAAGGCCCAACACTCATGGCCAAATAGTAGGCTATACCTAGGGCAGACACTGAAATTCAAAATGGGTGAATCACACCCACCAGTAGGCTTAAGTGAAGGTTAACATACAGATATGTCACTAAACAGTTTAATGCAGTCACAAGAGAAGCAGTATTTTACCATCAAAAGCACACATCTTTCAATAAGTTCGACATTTTGATAAGCATTTGATAATTTTATCAAGTAACGTAGTCTATTTTTATCACATTGTTGCCTTAAAATATTGTGTGCTGCCGCTTTGGCTAAAATATTGTACTTCATAAAACTGATAAAAGTTTTTTATTCATTATCTTAATGCTTCTTCTGGAATTTCCACTAGGACCCAGAAGCTATCTGTAGCATTCCTGCAGAGGAAACAAACCAGGTGAACTTTGTTGACAGTACAAGTTTTTTGACCAAACACTTCAAATTGACCAGAAATGGAAATACAAGTTTGCGTCAATTGAATGCTACCAAAGCATTCAGGTGTGTAGGAGACAGTGGGTTCGGATCCGAAGGTATTCAAAACCTCCACACAAGTGGTAACACCAGTGAGTCTCCTTCTACTCCTGAAACAGACACCACAGGTGTGGATTCCTTGTCATCTACAGACACCCCTGAAACAGACACCCCTGAAACTGACACCACTCGTGTGGATGTCTCTTCAACTAGCGACACCCCTGAAACAGATACCACTGGTCTGGATGTCTCTTTAACTAGCAACGCCCCTGAAACAGACACCACTGGTGAAGACCACTCGTCACCTAGTAACGCCCCTGAAACAGACAACACTGGTGAAGACAACGTGGATATGTATGGTTGTCACGGTTTGACCCGTGTACCATATGTGGACAAAAACTCTAGTTAGTAGTTTGTTTATGATTCTAAAGTTGAAAGTATAACTCAAATCTAGTTACTTCTATTTAGTTTGCCTGTTTGTTTATGATTCTAAAATTGAAATTATTACTCAGACCTAATTACTTCTGTCCTCTGAACAAACTCTTGCATTCTGACATTTAAATGTTCACACTTTTCTTTAAATTACAACAGAGAATCAGCCACTAAGTTACAACAGAGAAACAGCCACTTCATGAAGTTACAACAGAGAAACAGCCACTTCATGAAGTTACAACAGAGAAACAGCCACTTCATGAAGTTACAACAGAGGAACAGCCACTGGATGAAGTTACATCAGAGAAACAGCCACTTCATGAAGTTACAACAGAGAAACAGCCACTTCATGAAGTTACAACAGAGAATCAGCCACTTCATGAAGTTACAACAGAGAAACAGCCACTTCATGAAGTTACAACAGAGAAACAGCCACTTCATGAAGATACAACAGAGGAACAGCCACTGGATGAAGTTACATCAGAGAAGCCACTTCATGAAGATACAACTTTTCAGAAAAACAACCCATTTATCAATCAACCATAATTAACCCATTTATCAAGCAACCAGTTGTAAGCACCAACCCCATGACACAATTCCCACCATCTAGTCCAACCAACCAACCAGTTAGAACTACTTATGACAGGTTGGGTGACCATTGCTAGAGATTTACTTATGATGGTTCCCAGAAAACTGCAAAACTGGGCAAACAGAAAAATGTGCAAATACCAACAAGCTATACTTATACACTTAATTTTTGTCATATTTGGTATATAAATGTTTTATTATGAAACAATGTACATGAAGTCATTCTTTGCCAATTTGTGTGCAGTTTTTTATTGCGTAGTTTTCCTTTGTGCATTTTTCTGGTCACCACTTTGACAGGTTGTCTGACCATTACTACCCTGTTCACCACTTCTGACCATTACTACCCTGGTCACCACTTCTGACCATTACTACCCTGGTCACCACTTCTGACCATTACTACCCTGGTCACCACTTCTGATCATTACTCCCTGGTCACCACTTCTGACCATTACAACCTTGGTCACCACTTCTGACCATTACTACCCTGGTCACCACTTCTGACCATTACTACCCTGGTCACCACTTCTGACCATCACTACCCTGGTCACCACTTCTGACCATTACTACCCTGGTCACCACTTCTGACCATTACTACCCCGGTCACCACTTCTGACCATCACTATCCTGGTCACCACTTCTGACCATCACTACCCTGGTCACCACTTCTGACCATCACTACCCTGGTCACCACTTCTGACCATCACTATCCTGGTCACCACTTCTGACCATTACTCCCTGGTCACCACTTCTGACCATTACTACCCTGGTCACCACTTCTGACCATTACTACCTGGTCACCACTTCTGACCATTACTACCCTGGTCACCACTTCTGACCATTACTACCCTGGTCACCACTTCTGACCATTACTACCCTGGTCACCACTTCTAACTTCTGACCATTACTACCTGGTCACCACTTCTGACCATTACTACCCTGGTCACCACTTCTGACCATTACTACCCTGGTCACCACTTCTAACTTCTGACCATTACTATCCAGCAGAAAAAAAATATGTTTGAAGATGCTCATAAAAAATTGTAGTAGGGTATTTTGTCTTTCACTTCAGTTTTTTAGTGGGGTCACGGCAATCCATTCTTAGTTTCTTGCTTTTACATTTACCGTGACACTACTGAACAACTTATACTCATGTAACTCATTTTGTTTTAAATTTTACACCTGAGTCAGACAGCCCAATTATTTTACAATGTGGCATATCACTGGTAATAAAAAACTATGGTACAGACCCATAAAGTTTTTAATTCGGATTTCCAAAGTAAACAACATTTTCTTTTTTTTTCTTATAAAATGCATTTTAACGTGTGCAATGTGAAAATCGTGTGCAAAATGAACCTTTTGTATCTGTAATAATTAATGTCATTAATTTATTTACAATTTAGTTTGTAAAGTATTTTGTGCCTTCTTCCATCAGTTGGAAATAGTTTATTTAGTGGAATTGATCTGAAATTTTATACAATGAACTAAGTCTAACGTAGGTGACTTATCTTCTATAAGCTTTTGGATAAAGGTCTGATATTAGGGAATAACTAGTTGAATTAAGCTTATTATTTATTACTATTTATTCTCGATTTGTTATGAAAATTATCCAATTTAATTTTTTTAATAGACATTTTTAAAAATCAATACATATAGAAATAATTTTTTTAATGGTAAAAGATCTTGTTTTTGTTATATAAAGTAGAAACCCTTAAAGAAATTAAAGAAATCCACATGAGAAACTATTTTTCTATTATAATGTCTATGTTAAGCTCTTTAGACACTAAACACTAGACTAATCTTGGGGGTAATGTATCAAGACGTCATGTGTGTTTACAAAAGGTAATTGCCTGCATCATTTAGTACTGCATTTATTTACTAGTATTATTTAGTCTATAAAACATGTTTTGAACTTTTATTTAACTTTGGGTGTATTCATCTTTACAATGCTATGCATTCACTGTAATGATATTCCTTACTCAATCATCTTGTAAATATATTTGCTTTATACCAACTCATATACAATGACATTCTTTACATTTGCTTTTTGTCAGGCCATAAGAGATTGTTTTTTATTGTTTCTAGTCTATGCTCACAGTTTTTGTTTTTACCTTCAGAATTATTGTGACCCTAGTTGATCTAAAGAGCTGCCCACATTTTTGTATAATTTGCGATTTAAAATTGTATCAACCAAACAAGTTGAATAATTTAATTCGCTTATGTGACCCTATCATTTGAGATTTTAAATTTCATCAACATAAGATTCCAAACGTTTCGTAATTTAATTCATATATGTGGCATTTCACAGGAATTACTTCATCATCATCACCATCATCACCATCATCATCACCATCATCATCATCAACACCATTACCATCATCATCATCATCAACACCATTACCATCATCATCATCATCAACACCATTACCATCATCATCAACACCACCATCATCATCATCACCATCATCATCAACACCACCATCATCATCATCATCATCATCATCATCATCACCATCATCATCATCAACACCATTACCATCATCATCATCATCAACACCATTACCATCATCATCATCATCAACACCATTACCATCATCATCAACACCACCATCATCATCATCACCATCATCATCAACACCACCATCATCATCATCATCATCATCATCATCATCACCATCATCATCATCATCATCATTTCCCATTGATGTCCAAGACACATGAGTCAGATGAAGTAGAGTTCTTCTGCTTCAGAGACCATGGCTATGAAGGGATATTGTGGTCAGCACTAAGCTCAGCCACCTTTGTATCCCTAACATAAGTTTGAAACCCATCTGAGCTGGGTGGATTCATGGACATTCCACTGATTTGAACCCGGATTTGAACTGAAGACTCTCGGGTTAGCGGTCTAACACTCTACCTCTAGGCCACACCGTGAGTTACTCGGCCCTTATTACTGGTTTCTAATATAGTATGCGTGTACTGGACCTATAGTCCCTAGCTGATGATCATTTCAATATAAACTGTACCAGTCAAGTATTTGATTCTGAGAAATTTTGATTTTACAATCAGGTATTTTGTACCAAATATATTAGTCTGTTACTTTAAACTGACAATTTAAAGATTTTCAAGTTAGATTCTTTTTAAAATCTTACACTACAAATGCGTGTACTTATAACAAATTATTGAAAATATTTTAAAATATTCCCCATATTTTTATCAAAAGTTTTTAAAAAGCTGAAAGTGCGAACTGATTCATTTTGTCATAGAATTTTATCTACCTGCTTTAAAATGTTCTGTTAGAGATTATAAATGATGTTATGGAAGTGAAATTTTTACAAGTAATTTTATCAATATATTGTGATCCATGTTACTTCCAAATATTCAGCTTAAAAGGGTAATTGATGTGCTTCCATGTATTCTGTTTGAAAGAGAAAATGAAACTTCTGAAAGTTAACTGAGACCTAAGCAATAAATCTTGTATGTATGATATTTTAACCATAGTTCAAATTCATATTAGGTAAATTCTATATAATTCTATTCTATATAAACCGGTGGTTTTTTTTGTTACGAAGAAGAATCCAGTTTCTATTATCTGGCCTTATGGTGTAATTAATGCAACAATCCCCAAAGACAGGTACCTGTATACACTGTGTGTAGTCCGATGCAATAAATTGTATAGTCATCTAGCATGTATTGAGATGGCTAGAAAATAGTGTCACTTAGTTTAGATGATGTATATGATCTATCCCCTCTATAGTCACACATTGTGACAAAAAGGCGTATTCCTA